TTCGAGTGGCATGTTGTGCTCTGAGTGCTAACAGTTTCTCAGGTACTTAGTATTGATGTTAATTATCTTCTGAAGCACAAAAGATACATTTGAGGTGTTAATATTCAGAATCATAATATTATATCATATAATCCAAAATCCAAAAAAATATCTATTATCAGGAAAACTATCTAGTATTTCTATGGTTTAGTAATCAATTATGATTAAATTGACCCTACAAATGTTATGTGAACTGCCATGTGCTTTCTCTACTCTAACAGCTGAAGATGCAGGGGCATCAATAAACTGTTGAGCCTCGTCAACATTTTTTGAGCCACAAAAGATGTGGAAAAAGCAACTTTTGGATCCCCAAATAAAGGAATTTTCTCTCCAAAGCTAGATATAGCAGGCGCAGCACTGGATTCCTTTGCAGAAGCAGGAGTACCAATTGGGGGTGATTCATTGACTACAACAGATTGATGGACAGCAATTCCGCTTGATGCAGGCAACAAGACAATTTTCAGTGCTCCTTCCAGCATTCAAAATTTGATCAGAAGCATCATTCTCAGCTTTATTATTAAAAGTAGAACTAGCTAAAGGCTTGATTTCAGACAGAGGGGATACAGCAAGGGAAGCTGATACAGCAAGGCTTGATATGAAATGTGTTCATACTTGAAAGAATATGACCTCCAAGGTTTTCCAGTGTTTTATCAATTCCTGAGGTAAGTTTGGTCAAATTAATGCACTACACACATTTTTAGAGAAGATCATGATTAAAAATGATGGCTTTGATATGGAATAAAAAGGACTTCCGGTTAAAATTCAACGTATAATCTACCTAATGACAATAATGTTTTGTACCTAGCTTTTGGTTCTTATGGATGCATGGAGAGTATTGACATTTGTTTGGGATAAGCTTATACCCAATATTTTGTTTTATACAGAAAGTATAAATTATCATTAACTATAAACACCAAGTGGGTGCAAACCCATGTACAAAAATATTTACAAATCAATCATAATATCTATCAAATTTCTCAAAATCTTCCATGGAGTATAAAGGTTGACTCATCACACAAACTAGGAGTTGAAACCATATTGCTCTAATCTTACCAATATCCTCTTCCACCCCGAAAAAGTTTTGCTATTTCTTTCTTTTCTAACACCAAAAAAATGTCAATGGTGTTAGACCAATTGTTTTCTCCTCCCACTTATACCTATCCAGGCCCAGAATTCATCTTTTACACTATCTGCCATAGCTTGTATGCAATATTAATGCATTGAAAATGCTATACATGCTAGAAGTTTTCTAAATGGTCATTGTATATATGATAATTGTTGTCAATTAAATACTGAGTACAAAAGAAAATTGTATTCAAAGGCTAGGAAAATACAAATCTTTTGCAAGAACTCAAAACTGCGCTTAAGAATGGGAATAACACTTCTCCATTGTTTAAATATGAGAAGCCTGAAGTTCGTTTTGAGCATTGGTGGCACAACATTGCCTCTCGTTGAAGTTGTTTCTGTCCAAATTATGAGTTGACCATGCTGAGCATCTTCCTCCTTCCAACGACTTTGTTTTACTTCACACTCCTTTGAAGTTGTTCCTGTCTATGATGACTGTATTAAACAGATTTCTTGGGGGGCAATTTTCATTTGCTATGTTGGTTTTATGCTTATGGAAGATACAATTCTGTCCAACTTTTAAATTTTCCATAGAGATTATCACATGTCTTGACTTTTGTAAGACTTTGAGAGAACATGTCTGACTCTTCTCAATCTTGATGCTACATCATTACATAACAATTTTGAATACATTATTACATAGTAGAAATAAATAAGATAGTCAATTTTGATTATAAATTTTTTAACATTATATAGATAATTAAAGAGAACCAAACATAACAGCAAATGGGTTAGAATGATAGAGAACAAGATGATCCTAAATTGAAATAGTTTCAATAAGAAAAACATATGTAATAATAACAAAAATAGTAGACATATGTCAAAAAAATTAAGTAGACGATGATGAATTAAAAACTCCTTCCATTATGATTATATTCCTCGTTATCTATTTGTGTTTGTTCTTTTCTACTTATTTTGTCCAACTATGTCGTTCATCCTTCTTCTCTATATATTTCTTCATCTCAATTTCCAATTTCCTGTGACTGGTCTCTAATTTTTTGTTTATCGCCTAAATTTCCAATAATCTAAATTATCTCTCGGACAAGTTAGTTTGAATGTTACTCGTTCTACATGACTAAAACTTCCAGACTTTTCCTCACATGGTATAACTTTCATAAGCTTTCCATTTGCCATAAATAAATTTAAGCAAATAAAATACTAACCTAAACAAAGAAGAAAAACTTGTAACTTGATGAGTTGCACGAACTACCACTTGTTATATGCTTGCATAAAGGCTCAATCTAGTTGAAGAAGGGTAACCTTTAGCTAAATGATAATTGAATAGCTTAATTTAACAACAATGAGTTGACATCAAATTTGAGTTGAACAGCAACTGAAGAGCTAAGCCAAAGAGCTAGTTACTAAGTGCAATGAATATGAGAAGGAAAAACCTTTAGCTAAATAACAATTTAACAGCTCAATTGGACAAAAGTGA